AAGTTTGACAAACTGGTTTGTAAGGCTACGAGTTATAGCGGGTTTTAAAAATGCCTTCGACTTCGTAGCTATGGGCCGTAGGAACAGTGCCGCATTGTTCTAAAAAAAACCCCGCACATTAATTTTTTTATTACAATTGAATCAGTTTCTGTTCGACGGGCGTTAGTCCAAAAATTCATGAGCCCTGACATTCGCTGATCTCACAAGACACTAGGGATCATGAGTTTTTGCGCTTCTGCCGGTGAAAGATTAAGTGCTACGGAGGAAGTTACTTTCTCTCCGGAGAAATCAGTTGGTGTTCCGGAAAAAACTATTTCCTTATCAGAACGCCTTCCAATTTGTGGGATACCAATTGTCTGGCGGTGCCGAACCGCCGCCACAAATGCTCTACTGGCTACTGCTCTTAAGAAAGCAGTAGCCAGTAGAGCATTTGTGGCGGCGGTTCGGCACCGCCAGACAATTGGTATCCTACAAATTGGAAGGCGTTATTTGGTGCGGTAAGGAAACTCTGCGAAAGTCTGTTTCACTCGGCTGCACAAACCGCAGTGCTGGATCCAGTGAGAGCCGGGTGGGGGGTTATTTGCTAATTTTGAGTCGGAGTTGTGGAATGAGATATTTCTTACTCTCCTTGCACCTTATCAAGATGACTGCACAGCATCGATTAACATAACAAAATTCCAATTGAAAACAAATCAATGTCACAAAAGCTTTTCTCGGCACCTGCGATTTCGGTTCTTCCGTCTTGATTTTTGTTCTGAAGCACCCTAAGCCTAGGTGCTGAATAAGGCTACCTTGCCTCGCGGACAAGTCTGCATGAGCCTACTGCCTACCGCAGATACCTCCTCTGCCATGATAAGGAAAAAAGCCGTATGAACATTCGAGAGTTATGAAATTTCCACAGATTAATCATGCATTTTTCAAGAATGTTACGCATATTTTTCCTTGAAATTTTCAGGTACTTTAAATCAAATTACGCTGTAGATTCCTAAAAAAATTTAATAAAGGAATAGAAGCCACAAAACTCACAAAAAAAAAAAAAAAAAAAAAAAAAAAAAAAATCAAATTACGATCAGAGCCGTCTGATAGATTTGAAAAAAAAGCATTCAAAACATTTCCAGTTAATTCGGTTTTTATTGAGGGAAATCTGTCAACTCCCGAAAGCTTATACGGCGTTTTTCCTTGGCACGGTAGTAGCTAATGGACGTAATTATCCTAAAAGGGATTATGTGCAAATGAACCATACCAAGAGGAACCGTGTTGCACGCAATTCCTATAGGTATATAGTTCCTTTTAACTTCATTCACCAGTACATAATTCCTTTTAACATAGAAGTGTCCTGTTGAGCGAGGAGATTTTTGAGAAATTTTGAAAATCCAACCGAAAATTCGAGTTTCCCGTTGGAAAATCCCTCCCGATACCGAATCTCACGAAAATCGATCAAACTGGAGCCGACTTAGCATTTTAGGCCACGGTCGCCATCTTTGATTTTGAAATTTTCAAAATCTGACCAAAAATTTGAGTTTCCCGTTGAAAAATACCCCCGCATACCAAGTTTCACGAAAATCGATCAAACAGGAGCCGATTTAGCACTTTAGGCCACGGCCGCCCTCTTGGATTTTGAAACTTTGAAAATCTGACCAAAAATTCGAATTTCCCGTTGAAAAATACCTCCGGATACCAAGTTTCACGAAAATCGAGTGAACAGGAGCCGTCTTAGCATTTTAGGCCATGGCCGCCATCTTCGATTTTGAAATTTTCAAAATCTGACCAAAAATTCGAATTTCCCGTTGAAAAATACCTCCGGATACCAAGTTTCACGAAAATCGAGTGAACAGGAGCCGTCTTAGCATTTTAGGCCATGGCCGCCATCTTGGATTTTGAAATTTTCAAAATCTGACCAAAAATTCGAATTTCCCGTTGAAAAATACCTCCGGATACCGAGTTTCACGAAAATCGAGTGAACAGGAGCCGACTTAGCATTTTAGGCCATGGCCGTCATCATGGATTTTGAACTTTTGAAAATCTGACCAAAAATTCGAATTTCCCGTTGAAAAATACCTCCGGATACCGAGTTTCACGAAAATCGAGTGAACAGGAGCCGACTTAGCATTTTAGGCCACGGCCGCCATCTTGGATTTTGAAATTTTGAAAATCTGACCAAAAATTCGAATTTCCCGTTGAAAAATACCTCCGGATACCAAGTTTCACCAAAATCGAGTGAATAGAAGCCGACTTAGCATTTTGGCAATCAATTTAATATTTGAAGCAATTTAATTTGAAAGGGATCGATATAAAATTATTTTCAGGTCTAAATCAAGGCAAAATTTAAGACTTGAAAAATTCAAGTTGTTTCTAGCAGTGAGAAGTGAAAAATAACTCTTTAGAATTTCGTGAGTTAGATGATGACAAAAATTCCGGCTCAAAGAAATTGATCAGGCATGTAAGTCGTCGGGAACTTGAACGCACAAATAGACAACAAGCCGCAACAAAAAGAAGCGCCTTCGAGAAGGCGTTGATACCACTAATCGTACACTCAGCATACATTTCTATATACTTTGCTGTATTTAGTGCAGAAGCATCGAATTGAAGGCGTTCTTAACGCCGTTTAGAGGGACTTGAACCGCAAGCTCGGTCCGGGCCTTGGACGTATGGACGTCTCGTTAGCTTCGACCGGAAATGAAGGGCTAACGTACCGGAAGCCGACCAAACCTCTTACCGCCGACCGGAAATGAAGGAGCAACGTACCGAAAGGTCGCCTTCAAGTAAATGAAATTTATTTGCAAGTTTTATTGATGGCTCATACTTGCACGTTGTTCATCTCAAACCGGTCGGACGCGTTTCGGCCTCCTCGTAAGACCATCATCAGCGACACCGTGTGTCATCTTGATGCTTTGTAGTTTTCTTCAATGCTTGGACGCAATTATTTTGTTAACTTTGAATGTACGTATTGCAGTTTTTCCTTAAATATGCGTGTTGCATACCTAAGTGGTTGAAGGCGTTTTGGTTTGTTTCCTTAAGGTGATTCGATGGACGCCATATTTTGTGTCAGAACCGCATGCGATATATCGCTTCAATTGGTTCCATTTTTTTAGCTACTAATCATTTTTTTCCAATTTTGAGATCGCAATTCTGTTGTCAGGAGACTAAAGCACTCACTACCAATTTTAACAAAGAAATTCACCATAGTAAAGGCTTGGTTTTTTTAGAGAGAAAATATCGCATTCGAGTGCAGTTTCGATATCAGTATCGAATGCGATGTTTTCTCTCTGTAAAAACCACGCCTTTATTACGTTGAATTTCTTCGTTAAAATTGGTAAGTGAGTGCTTTAGTCTCCTGACAATAGAATTTCGATCTCAAAATTGGAGAAAAAACCGAGTAGCTGAAAAAATGGAGCCAATTGATGCGATGTATCGCATGCCGTTCTGACACAAAATATGGCGTCCATCGAATCTCCTTAAGGATTTTTTAGATGTTTCAGTCCATCCAAATCTTAACCAATCTCTTAGGACATGTTCAATCCATTTTCGTGACATGTCACCGAAACTTATCTTTCAAAAGTGTTAAGTCCATCTTTATTCGTGACAGATTCTTTCTTTGAAAATTCAACCTTTGCACCGTCCTCCTCTCCTTCCTCACCCCACCCATCGAGCGTCTTAAAAATGATTTCATTAAAAGAGAGAGGATTTTAGCTGCCTTGTGATACAATTTCGAAAATATATTGCTTCTTTTTCAAATTTGGAAAAAGTTGAGCTCGAGCCTTTGTATTCGAGCTACCCTCCCGAAAATGTCAGCTCGATTGACGCTGTAATGAAGTTGGATTCACCTAACCGGCGAGGGCACCGCAAAGCGAATACGAGAATTAGGTGAAAATTGAGCTTACCAATTTTGAGATGCTCTTCTCAATTCCCTGGACTACGGGTGGTCAAAAAATTGGGGGCGGGGAAAATATTTTCGGAAAAACAGAAGAAGATGCTCAAAAACATAGGGCTAACAAGGTTGACCGCCCCCCACTTTTGACCCCCTTGTAGTTCCTCTACTATGAGGGTACAAAACTTTTTTTGAACGGTACATTCGGTACAAAACTAGTACAAAACTTTGGCGTTAAAAAAAGGGAAATTTAGGTGGTGTTGGAGTTTTATTTCTCCAGCCCCCTTCCTCTGTTTTAAGTTTACAAACTTCACAAGATGGGTACAAAACTTTTTTATTTGGGAACACTAGGGTAAAAAACTATTGACGCTTGAACTTTCATTGTGGGAAAGTGAAGGGGGGGGGGCTGGAGAGATGAACCCGGTCACCGGCCACTGCGCAACTTTCTGTACATAGCAGCAGCAGTTGATAGAGTATTCGGCAAATTCGCTCATTTTTATAACGCAATTGTAAAAATACCTGGATCCTATTTCCAAAATATGATTAAAGTGGGCTCATCTACGGACTATTATTATCCGTCGATTGCCGCAAAAATCGTGAAAATCGACCCGGTAGAACGCCTTTGGGGGCGCGCGGCGCCTCGGCCGGGGGTTGGACTGCGTAGTGGCCAGGGCATTCGGTGTTGATCATTCGAGCGGTGCGGTCGTGGTCGTGCTCTCGCCGGANATCCGTCGATTGCCGCAAAAATCGTGAAAATCGACCCGGTAGAACGCCTTTGGGGGCGCGCGGCGCCTCGGCCGGGGGTTGGACTGCGTAGTGGCCAGGGGGCAGAGCCCCCTAGTAGCATTATTCCAGGCAATCTGGCATCAAGTCTATTAAAGTAGGGAATCTAAAAAAAAAGGAGAGAAAAGTTGGAAGAAGGAAAGGTTAAGTTTAACACCTGCGCGCTTTGCAAGTGCGCAAACAGCAAAAAAAGAAAAAGTCTACCTGCGTCAGTAACTTTGACGCGGAAAATCACAGGTGATTCGTTGCGAGAGTATAAAAGCTCAGCTCCCCGCAGAAAATTTGGGAAGTTTTTTAGAGATCGATAAAGATGGGGGCTCTCATAAAACTTGTGTTTTTTGTGACATTGTCTGTGGTAGTGTTGCAGGTAATGCTTAGAAGATTTAAAGCCTTTCTCTTGTAATTGTTGTATTGGGAATTGAATACAAATTCGGATTTATTTTGAGTTGATGATTCCCGACCTTTCAGTATGCTTGGACCGCGTTAAGTAGAAAGGAACCAAGCCACACCTACTATTGGCAAATTTAATCAGGCAATTTATAATTTTTTTTTTTTTCATGGAAACGGTTGTGCAGATTTCTGTACAAATTTCGGTGTATTTTCTGCATAGTACAAAGCAAATTCCTTGAAATTTTTCAAAAGAATCAACGAAAACGTTCTCTTGTAAAAAATTAAATTGCTTTGATTTTGAAAATAGCTGATGTGGCTTGGTTCCTTTCTACTGAGCGCGGTACACTTCTATCAAATTTTAACGTTAAAGAAATTTAATTTAATTTAATTATCCGGAAATTTAACGTTATACACTAAAATTTAAGTGAGAAACGGTCATGACATTACATAAGGAATTACAATTCGTTTTCACGTTATCATTTCGAACTTCTGTTCGGAATTAATATGACGGTTCTAAATTCAGACGAATTCATACCAAAAGTTATCTGCACAAATAAATTAATTTGAAAGGGACTTTGAGGCTTGCAAATCCTGCGTTCATATTTATTTATTTTTGATGTAATTTATTTGCAAATATCACACTTTAGTGTAAATACGTACATTTAGCACTGATCAATTTGAGGCATCAAACAGGTTGACATACAGCTGGCTACAATCCACATATTTGCCGGTTAATCAATAAGCACATGCAGATTTTTGCTGAAATGGACGTATTTCTGTCAAACAGAAGTATGTGCATTATGACGTGAGCTCTCTTATGCATGTATTCTTATGAGTCTCAGGGCTCATGTCTTAATGCACATGGTTTCGTTTGATAGAAATACGTCTTAATGTAAACTAGGTCTCGCCGTTGGGACACCAAAACCACTATTCTCCATGGGTGACTGCACAATTTATGAATGTGCAATTCGATGTACAGTGTACATCGAATTCTCCGGAGAAAAATATTCTACGCCTTCTACGCCTCATTCAGACATCGGAAAGTTCGTCCAAGTCATTTTGAATCCATTGTAAACTGGATGAAAGAATTTTCAAAAAAATGTAAAGTATTAGTGGTAAAGACAACACAATATGACGGTGACATGTGCAGTTGACTACACAAGCGACTATGATCAAATGAAAAGATTAATGATTAAGACGATTTGAATGATTATAGATGGTGACGAGCGTGCAAGGTATACTGCTTCATGCTATAATATAATAAAATAATAAATAATTACCTAAATTTATAATAATAAAATAATTTACCTGAGTTTATTGAGGTGAACTAGACATAGAATCAGATAGTGCACCGAGGAAAAAGATTGGTAGAATTTACCATTCCTTCACGCTGTATTTCACACAGCGTCAATTCCCTTCACGAAGGAAAACAGTGGCGTGGCGTATTTTGCGAAATATCGATTGATCGACCATTTAAACCTATGGAAAAGTATCGATAAAAAGGGTGTTCGCAGCGAACACCTTAATAATCAATTCTTTACCGCAGTTTCAAATGAGGGAATATATCGATGGATTGCTAAGCACGCCACGCCACTGGAGGAAAATAGGGTAGCAAAGCGGTGGCTATCTCATATTTTTTCCGTGTTATTCTCTTATTAATGTCTGAAGAGACTCAAATTTGTTTGGAAAATATTTATTAAACTCAAATCTTCAGAGAACCGATTGAATAATGTGCCTCCTTACATTGAACTGCCGAATAATTTTAGGTATAAAGCAGGTCGATAAATTCTACCTTGTGAAATTGAAATATCATTATGGCAAAATCATGATCTTCAGTGACAAGAGGAGATCTTTGATGGTCATCTTTGATGATGATAAGGCCCGTTGCAATTTCTTTACCCGGAAATTACCTTGCTCTGGCCCATGGCTCTCGGATACAGAAAATATAGAGGACCGTATCTATACCCGTTAACATTGGATTAATGATCATTAATGATATCTTCGTATTTCTGGTAAACACCATGATAATGTATTATTTCTTCTTGCGAATATCAACCATGTCAAGCAGTGGCGTCGCGTGCTTTGCGATATATCGATTGTTATACCACACCATTTAAACGTATGGAAAAGGATCGATTAACAGGGTGTTCGCAGCGAACACCTTAATAATCGATGCTTTACCATAGGTTTAAATGGTATAACAATCGATATATCGCAAACACGCCACGCCACTGATGTCAAGGGCAGAGAAATGACTCACGTGCTATGAGTGCGCTTACGTGGCTGGCTTAAGGCTACAAAAAAAAAAAAAAAAAAAAAAAAAAAAAAGTCATGCGCTTGTACACATCGAGCGCCCTTCATATCGGTCGTCCGTTTTGAGACGTCGATTCAAATTCCAGCATCATGAACTGACGTGTGGAGAGATGTTACGCAGTCGATGCTTTTCAGTCGTCACCCAGGCAAAGTTCATTATTCATTCACGTCATCCTTGTGCTATTTGATGTATCGATGCACCGAAGTTTGATCGTGCCGCACTGGAAAAAAGGAGCTTTCATCCAGAGTCTAGACTCTTAAAAACATCGCCAAGAAAAAATACTCTTGATTCAATCAGAATCTTTGCTTGAATCAAATTAAAGGGAATCCGCCTAAATCAAGAGGCTCGGCTCTTCGATTCAAGGAGAAGTCGGATTGAATCAAAATTATTTTTTCTTGTCAATATTATTAAAAGTCTAGACTCGAGATCCAAGCAACTTTTTTTCCAGTGCATCGTAATTAAAGAAGTAATACATTGTTGTGGATTTGAACAACATTTTGGAATTAGGAACTAAAACTTCTGGCTGAGTTAAGAAACAACGTAGGTGCCATTAGTTTCCCTATGCATATTAAAAATGAGCCAGAAATAGCTCCAAATTGCAAAATGATGTCCATTTATGATACTGGTTTATTACGGACTTTTAGTTAAGATACCGTTCATAAATTGCATAATGCTCCAGCTAAGTAGCAGTGATCGCGATAAATTGCGATTTGATCGGAGAATTTATCACGATTTTATCGACTTCGATTTATTGCAATATCATCGGATAAAAAGTTCCGATGAATTGCCATCTCATACCATGACTTTGCAATGAAGTCGCGACTCCATCGACGGCGATTTATCGCAATATCGAGCAAAAAACAAGATAAATTAAGATAACGTTTCGATTTTAGGAAACGCGATTCAATAGGGATAACATTGCGACAAGATTGAGGATAATCCCTCAGATGTAGATTTATCGATAAGAAATCGTGAAAAAATTGAAACTTAATTTAAAAATATCGCGATTTTCCCGGTTGTAAAATGCTACTTGCTTTTTACGCCTGCTTCACNGGGGGGGGGGGGGGGAATGGAGCTTTCTAAAACAATTTCTGAAATCTGAATGAAAAATCTTCGTGAGGGGACGATTTTTCATCAAACACCTACATGTTTTTGAAAAATGTCGACGTAAATTCGGATTTTTTTGCTGCGCTAAACAATTTAAGTTCCCACCATTTGGCTCATTTACCAAAGCTCCTTTGCACAACACTTCTGCCATGATAGTGAAGAGAGCAGTACCTAAGTGCAAAAGTTTTGAGAAAACGGGCTCAGAAGCTTCTGACCGGAAAAATTTATTTAAAGAAGCCTCCGTTCTTTGTCAAATTGCCACTACTCGTCCGAAAGACTCAACGGAATCTTTTGGATGATTAAAAATCTACTGATTTTATTTCAATTACATAAAGAGTGCAAAAATGAAGTTTTGAGAAAACGAGATCAGAAGCTGGGAGAATGGGTCACTAAACCATGAAATAATTTCGGCTTGCGAATACATTTATCTGGAGGTAAATGACGCGTAAAATACAATGCGCAAAATTTAACGCGAAAAAGTCACTTGAGGTGCATCGGGCAATGAAACCCGTTTGATGGTATACATATAGCAAAAATCGCATCAGAAAGAGGATACCATGAAATCTGCTTCGAATCGGCGTAATCAAATAATAATTGTTGCGGGCAATAAAAGGCTCACCCGCGCGGACCACATATAGCGCCTTCGACATCCTAGAGATACTCCAAACGCTACACCGTTACACGTACGTCAAATTGCCTATACTGCGCCTGTTGGAGAGTACACCTTGTTTTGAGGTGTACCCCGTCCACTCGCGTTTCACGGTACGAATCGGTGGTAGTGGAATATTTTGCCATTTTAGCGAAGAGAACCATAGGTACAAATTTGAAGTTTTGAAAAATTGTCTCGCTAGCGTCTGAGAGGAAACTTTTATCGAAAGAAGCCCCCGTTTTTTGTCAAATTGCCACTAATCATCCGAAAAACTCCTAAAATTCGTTTGGATTATTAAAAATCGACTGATTTTACTTTCATTACATAAATAGGGTATTTTACATTTTCATACTAGGTTATTGTTAGGCAAGACAGCCGTGCTATCTTTTGCATGCTTTCGTGGTTGCGTTTTGGACACGCAACAAACGCATTTTCAGATTAGAAATTGGCAGAAGAGGGCGGCACTTTACTTGATAGCATTGTTTTCATTTTCTCTCTGGAGAAATAATTTCACTTACTGCTGTCTTGCCTCAAACTACGTCATGTTTGGCGCGCTTACAGCTTTCTCATGCCTTTTTTTAATACAATTAAGATACATTTTGCTGTTTTCGCAATTTCCGTGATTTCGTTTAAAAGAGTACAGACGAATTTTGAAGGAAACTCAATTTCGAAAATTTGAGATTCACTGCTCTCCTCGCTATCACGGCAGACATATTCACCGTTGTAAAGCTGAATTTTTTTTTGAGGTGGCAGAGAGTAAGTCAGTTGTACAGAATGCCAAGGATGCACTTTCTCATGCTGTTGAGTCAGTTGGATTAACGCACGGAAAAAAACCCACACCCGAGCGGGAGATGAAGGCAATCGAAAAGTCGGAGAAATTCGTCAAGAACAGGATCGATCGCTACTTGGACATGAGTAAAGCTGAGGAAAAGAAAGCTCTCAAGAAAATAAATCATGCCAAAAAGACAACTGGACGTACGTATTCTTGAATCTAGTGCGTAATAACTGTGTATGAGGCTGTCCAAACATTAAGTAAGGCATTTAGGGTGGGGGAAGGGGGTCAAGAGGTGCCTTACGTAAGCCAAACGCTTGATATAGAGAAGGAGGGAAAGTAGTCGAAATTTCGTTTTTCTAGACGTTTGATGTTTTTCTGTTAAAATGTAATTTTTTCTGAACTTTTTGAATTTAAAAACTGGTCATTTTTTCAATACGACTATCACTCTTTATGATCTCCTACCATTGATTAGTAATGTTTAAAACAATAGCAATTTATTTCAACACCATATTTTCATTAAATTATGTATTTAAACGAAAGAAGGGGGAGGGTCTGGCCAGCCTGGTGTAATTATTTAGAGGGGGAGGGGGCCCAGGCTAGCCTTCCTAAGTGCCTTACGGGGTGAGGGGGGTCTAAAAATCTGAAAAAGTGCCTTACTTAATTTTTGGACTGGCCCCAATGTAGTTTTTACAGACGGTCCCAAAAGTCAGATTTCCGGAAAAGTCGTGCCAGAATCGTTTTTCTCGTCCCAAAAAAAAAACCCCATACTTATTTTTTTAAAGGAGAACAAATTGACATAATCCCTTGAAGTTTTTGCAGAATTTTCCTCGCACAGAGAAGAAAAATCATGGAAGTTTTAAGGAATTGCCTTTGAGCGGTTTTACGTTTAAAAAATAAAGTATGACAGGAAGTCTTCGATGTCGCAAACCAAGTTATGTGATTGCCAAATTACACCGTCGAAATTTCGTTTTAAACAGCAGAGCTTTTCCTTAAGATTCACTTATTTCGTGCGCGTCCTTAAGTCTTATTCAAAAACTGGATTACATTTCGCAATAAGGAACCACCATCTCTAGCCCTTCCTTAAAAGCAAGTATCTGCATAGGGAAATCAATGGCATATATGTTATTTGATTAACTTAAAAGTTTTTTTGAAAACCGATTACCGAAACCGATTTTGGAACCTTTCAATACCAATGCAGTCACCTGAAGATGGGCGGCCTGCCCGCTCGAAATGGCCATAGTGCGTAGAGAACAATAAGAAAGTAAGTGCTTTATAATCGGTTTTCAAAAAAAGTTTTTAGTTAATCAAATAATTTGTGTAGTGCCGATAAAATTTTAAAAAATGTGCAATATACAACAACATGGGCATATATGCTGTCTCTAAAATGAGACAAAAATAGTGGTTCCTTATTGCAAAATGTAGTCCAACTTATCAATGCGGATAATTTTCCTCAAAAATTGATCTTATGATTTTCCCCGATTTATACTCTTCTTACAACGCTCATTCCTCGTGTTTCAGCAAGGAGACACTGGATTTTTTACTCCGACTTCTTGGAGAGCAATGTTAATGTGCTACGATTCGATGTCAGGCTGAGCATTTGTGAGCAACAAAAGCATTTCAAAAAGTTCATCGACGATGTCCCGTCCGCCAACCCCGAACTTGCAAAGTTCATGAAATCCGAGGAGTATCAAAGGAAAATAAAGATAAACCCGCCAACTTTGGATCCAGCAATCATCGTTGCGGTGAGCATGCCACATTTATGTTTTTCCGGAGATAGGGGGGGATTCCAGAAAATCCGTCAGTGGAGAGCTATGCAAGCCCGACGTTGCTTAACTTTGGTGATCGGACGAGAACCGGTGCTTTCAACGCTGTATAGCCGTTAACGTACGTATACGTCGCCGTTTACCATGAAAAGATACCTCGGCAATGATCCGGTTCAATGCTCTCATTCCATGTCCATAAAAAGTTCCGAGTTTCGGAACTTTTTTTTCCAATGTCTCCCCCTCCATGACCGTCAAAAGTTCCGGGATCCTATTTAGATTTTTTCAAAAGTTCCGGAACGTGCCAAAGATACAAAGCATTTAGGGAATTTCAAAAGTTCCGGGGAAAATGCAGGTAAATCTCAAAAGTTCCGGAATTCGGTACTGGTTCCGGGAAATCGGAGCACTAAGTTCCGGGTACACTGGTAAAAAAAACCTCTTGGTTCAAGAGTGCAGTTTCTTGTCGCCGGATTTAAGAGTCTGGACTCTTGTTTCAATGCAAAATCCGCTTGAAACCAGAGTTCAAGACTCATAAATCCGGCGACAAGAAACTGCACTCTTAAGTCAATACACCGCGGCATTGGTCCAAGAGGTTTTTTTTACCAGTGTATCCGAACCGAGGTTCAGTCCCGTGAAAACTCCGGATGCCTGCACTAAAAAAAAGCGGCGCACTGGAAAAAAAAAAACTTATCGGATCCAGAGTCCAGACTCTTAAAAACATCGACAAGAAAAAGCACTCTCGATTCAAACAGAATCAAGGACCAAGCCTCTTAATTTAAGCGGATTTCGTTTTGATTCAAGCAAAAATCCGATTGAATCAAGAGTATTTTTTCTTGTCAATGTTTTCAAGAGTCTGGACTCTAGATCCAATGTGTTTTTTTCTCCACCGCGGACCGAAGTTTATTGTTCGTTGCAAGTTTATGGCACATTGCATGATTAAAAAATTACCATAAACCCAATTCCTTTGGTTTCCAGTTGAAGAGAGACACCGATGGGAAACGCCAAATCACCGCGGACCTCACCAACCAACCGGACTCCCTCGCCGATCTGAAACGTTACTTCGCAAAGCGGGTCCACGAGGTGACTCACATGCACAACACGAAATTCGATTCCTTCGAGACGGCCGCTGTGAGGGTTTACGACGCCTTGCGAAACGCGGTCATCGTATGGTCCGACCTGAAACAGGACCTGAAGGCTGGCAGGAAGATTCCGGAGAGCATGGAAGCGAAGGCAACGGAGGTCCAGATCGCCCTCGGGGCAGGAAAAGATTTGGGCTGTTACGACAAGGACCCTCATGACCCTTGAAAGACCCAAACAATCTATTTACTACCGTCCCACACGGAAATAAATTAAATGTTGATTAAGCATTTATACTGTTAAAAAGATGTCCAACAAGTTTCAAATGCTGATTTTACATTTTAACAAATGCTAACGTAACTACGCCCACTGCAAAGCGTACAAAGTAAAAGGTTATGTTAGCATTTTTGTATTGTAAAATCAGCATTTGAAACTTGTCGGACATCTTTTTAACAGTATAAATGCTAAATCAACATTTAATTTTTTTCCGTGTAAGGAAAAACGCCGTATGAACCTTAAGGCGTTGTCAGGTTTCCTTCGATAAAACGCGAATTTCCTAGTTAACTTATGAATATTTTCCTCCCAATTTTTTCGGTAATTTTGTTCGCAATTTCACCTAAAGATCCTGAAAATTTAAAGGGGAAATATTCATAACTTTCTTCAAAAATCAACATTTTATCGAAGGAAATTTGGCAATGCTTGAGTGTTCATACGGCGTTTTTCCTTAGCAAGGTAGTACAGGACTCCAGGACGCGGTTGCACGGAAAAAACAATGAAACTGCTGATTTAACAATGGAGAATTTGCATGCACATTTTATAATTCTTTATCTGAAAGTGCTTAAAGAGTTGATTTCACAGTATTATTTATGATTTTTATCTGTTTTGGGAAACAGTATAAAAATGAAATTAAAAGTGAAAAACTGCACCGCCTAGTGACGACATCTGGCGGCATTTCCCGTTTAAACACACGTATTTTAGCAGATTAGATCATTTTGTTGTTGTTTTTTGTGAGAGGAATGGCATATTCACCATACGGTCAGATTTTCTCAGCGGAAACGAATAAATATTTTCAATTTTACCATACGCTGTGTTTGACCATAACCATGTGACTAATTTTACGCGTACACATCTTAAAGTAAAAATCGTATGCAATTAATGAAAGAGTGTTGTAGTTTCTCACACGTTGTCGTCTCCTGCTTTTCGATACATCGACTGATCTGTCATTAAAACCTACAGAAAAGGATCGAAAACAGGGTGCTCTTAACGGACACCTTGATAATCGATTCTTTACCATAACTTTAAATCGGGAAAAATCAAAAATCGATCGCTAGCGCCTCGCCACTCATTCGAAGATTCCTCAAAGAATTATATTTTTTGAAAGAAAGTGACTGCGCAATCTTCTCATAAATTTTGTCGATTTTTAGCCGGGGTAAAAAGAAGTAAACGGGTGCATTGGGGGCATGGGGAATGGGAATAATGCTTGGCAGTGGCGTGGCGTGCTTTGCGATTCAGCGATTGATCTGCCATTTAAACCTATGGAAAAGGATCGATAAACAGGGTGTTCGCAGCGAACACCTTCATGATCGATTATTTACCATAGCTACAAATGAGGAAATATCGATAATCGATCATTCACGCCACGCAACTGATGCTAGAGTGCATGGGGTTACAGTTGTGTGGCAGTGATGTGCCTATTAATAGTGTCTCAGGATCAGTCGAATTCCACGCAGTACTTGGCGTACCATGGCTGGTGGACTGCGTATTTCAACCAAGAGCGGTTGAAATTATTTTCAACGATAAAAAGTTAATAATAGAGATGTTGCATGTGTGAGGAATTTGCGATTTGACTGTTGATGCTTACGTAAAAGTTCGCGAGAAACACGATGGTGCCACTGGTTTTCTCTGAAATCAACTCATAAGCTCAAAAAAAGCTCTCAAGTTGAGGCCAAAATGGAGGGGATATCCCACGCTATCCTGAGAGTCCACCTCTACATCAAGACAAACTCTCCATGCAAAGATAGGGAGCAAATATATTAGCAGGGCTGCCGTGTTTTCAGTTTTGGAGTCCCCAAATAAAGTGGCAGCCCTGTCAATGTATTTGCTCGATATCTTTGCATAAAGAGTTTGTTTTGATGTAGAGGTGGACTCTTAGGATAGCGTGGGATATCCCCTCCATTTTGGCCTCAACTTGAGAGCTTTTTTTGAGCTTAGGAGATGATTTCAGAGAAAACCAGTGGCCACACCATAAATCTCGCGAACTTTTACGTAAGAATCAATAGTCAAATCGCAAATTCCTCACACATGCAACATCTCCATTGCTTTACTGGTTTCGAAAAAATGATACAATAACTATAGACATTATTCCAGTCGAAATATCATTCACAGAGAAAACTGCAAAACTTCACTACTTTGCGCTGGTAAATCAGGCAATAAAAACCTTTCAAAAACACCTCAAATAAGGGCAAGTTCTCACAGGTTAGATGATTAAGAGTCTTGACCATACATGACATTATTCTAAGCTGTTTCAATCTTCGACCAAAGTTAGGGCCAAAATACCCTCCTTAAAAGGACAAATCCTCCGCACAAAATAATTTTAAGGGGGGGGGGGATTCAGGGAAGTTTTTGAGAATCAACATGAAGTAGTTTCCTCATTTGAAAAATAAATTATGACTAGAAGTCTTCAACGCCGCAATGTGTTTTTGCGAAATACTCAGTTCAATGCGTCTCATTTGATTTAAGCGGAATAGCTTTGCAAGTAACCTTGGGAACATTTCCACTAGATGAACAATGCGTGTCTACCGATGTTGGCTCCTAAAAGCATGGAATGATGATTCATATACATTTGCTGAACCCATATCCACCTGATTCTCATTAATATCTTTTGATGTGAAGCTCATACTAAGTTTTGTGATGGAACATGCTATGATTCACGAGGAATGATTCTAACTATTAGCAGAAAGTTCCGCATAAAAGTAGATCACTTCCCGGGTACCATTGACGATAACTTATCAGAATCGATGGGGTATAAGCATGACACCATGAGTGATATTTTCATCTCTTTATTAAGTTCAGACACACCTTGTTTACAAATTGTACAAAACGGAAATGAATTCTGTGCGCCATGTGATAATGTGGGTCGAGAATGAATGTATGCAACGATTCTGTTGCGAAGTTTAACTGAAGTTAAATCGGACTACATTTTGCAATTCGGAACTATAAATTCTAGCCCGATTTATAAAACAACGTGTGTGCTATTCGTCTCCCTATGCACAAGAGTGTTTTTCCAGAAGAGCCGGAATCTATAGTTCCAAATTGCAAAATGCAGTCCAATTAAGAATCAGTTTTACTGCTTTTAGCAATTTGGAACAACAATATCATGGCCAATTTAGAAACGACGTATTTACTTTTAATGTCCATATGCACATGATTGCTTTACAGATGAGCCCGGAATAGTACTTCTTAATTGTAGAGTCTAGTAAATAAATGTAGAGTCGTCAATGGACCGAGTTCATCAGAAAGGAACCAACCCACATTAAGTTGGAACTGAGGAAAGAGGTTTGAAGCTTTATTCCTGTATAAGGCCCAATGTAAAAAATAAACTTTAAACCCTACATTCACGGATTATTTTCTGTTTTTCGACTTTCAGTTTTTGGCAGGAGAAAATATACGGCTATTAGAACTCAAAAACGTTCCTAACTGAATTTTTTCAAGAATGTGGGTTGGCTCCTTCCTAATAAACTCGGTCCAAATGTACCCATAGATACATTTTAATGCTAAATTTGGCTGGCTGAGCTGCATAGAACATGGTAATTGATTTAAAAAAATCGAGAAAAAAAATTCTCATCTCCGTGTAGTTTGAAATATTACTTTTTAAATTTATTTTTAGCTTTTTTATTTCTTTGTAGCTCGATTTTTTTAATCAATTACCATGTTCTGTACTCATAGACTTGGCACTCGGGTGATGAAACAGGGAAAATATAGGATACCAGGAAGTCTATCCTTCCGTTTCAGAACGAGTAAAAAAAAAAATCAGGGTCAAAACTGGAAAACAACCTACGTCATAGATTCCTACCCAGCTTTTGATGAAGCAGGCATATATATTTGCAGCACCAGGTGAGATTTTGAGTTACATCCTAAAGTTATCTATTAACAATGTGGGTGCTGAAGGGAACTGTGGCTTTCGCGTTTGCGGTACTGGTTGTGCTCCAGGTCAGTGTAAGCAAATTGGCAACATTGCCTTTTCTACATTTAAACCTATGGAAATGTATCGATTCTTGGAGGGACCGGCTGCTCCGAAAAGAATCGATACATCGTCTTTCCTCCATTTAAACCTATGGGAACTTATCGATTCGTGAAAAGGTCAGGTGAAGAAGTGACAAGAATCGAATATTTAGCATGGGGTTTAAAGGAGAAAAACCGGTTTTGCCAAATTGCTGGATCCACCTACTAAGTTTCACGTCACAATCTTTAAATTTGTTTTCTTTGTTACTCATACAATTAACATGCAGCAAATTTCAGCTAGAGCAAAGAGGAAAGTTTGATTTTACAGAAAATGGCTCAAAAATCACGATTAGCGAATCGGGAAAGTCTGGAATACACTCCTAACTTCACAATCTGCGTGGAAAATATGCATTTTTTAATGCTCCTCACTTTAAAAACGATACTACGGCACAGATGAACATTTTATAGGAGTCCTTTCATCCAGCTCTTGCGCACTAATGTGCCAGCGGGCTGATTGTTTAAACTGTAGACAAGGCTATAGACAAAGAAGACACCAGAGGTATGGATTGATCCTATTGGTGGAAGTGGGTGGTTGCAATGGACAAAGGAGGTGGATAATAGACTAATTAACAGCAGCCTGCGAGAAACGCTATAATTTGTCCATCATTTTCTTCCTTAGTATATAGGGACCACCCCGTTTCAACCAATAACATCGCTCCATACTCCCGAATGTCTTCTCCGTCTATCGCTTCGTCCACCGATTTCAACAAACAACCCACAGGCAATTTTCATTATGTACAATGCCAACCCGCCGAAACACACGTGTCTAGACAAGATTTTATTGACCGGCGTGTTAATATTTACATTTGCCATGCATTGATAAAGACCGTATCGACGGCGTAAGTCCACAATCACATATCACCTTTACAGTGTCTGAAAATCTCCGCCTCGTGTAATTTTTTTTAAAGGAGAACAAGTTGACATCATTCCTTGAGGTTTATGCAGAATTTTCTTCGCACAGAGAAAAACAAATCACGACAGTTTTAAAGGATTGCCGTTGAGTAGTTTTCTATTTAAAAAAGAACGTATGACAGGAAGTCTGCGATGTTGCAAATCGACGGTGAAACTACCAGACCACGTATCTCGTTTGCGGTGTTTAAAAATCTCCACTCACATTTTATTTTTTTGAAGGAGATCAAATCAATATCATTTCTTACAATTTTCACAGATTTTTCTCCGCACAAAGAGGAAAAATCACGGAAGTTTTCACGAATTGATGTTGAGTAGTTTTCTATTTAAAAAATAAAGTATGACAGGAAGTCTGCGACGTCGCATACCGAGATACGTGGTTTGGTAGTTTCACCGTCGAAATGAAGAAGCACAAATGGTTTTGCACTTTAACTACGCACTCTCTCGTAGAGTCCCTTTATACCCAGAGTTACGACAACTCACTTTTGGTTAAACCGTTCTTGATTTTGGTATTCGTATGTATCTAATCAGTGGCATGGCGTGAATTATCGATTATGGATATTTCCCCATTTAAATCTGTGGTAAAGAATCGATTATCAAGGTGTTCGATGCGAACACCTTGATAATCGATTCTTTACCACAGATTTAAATTATCGATCATTTTCCAAAGGTTTAAAGGACAGATCTATCGATGTATCACAAAGCACGCCACGCCACTCTGTATAATCAGAAAAATGGATCGAATAAAGGAAACAAATCTAAGTTTTAAGAAAAACTGAATGGAGAGTAGAATCAAAATTTCAAAGTCCAGAAAGAAAATTGTAAGAAGAATCCCTCCACTTTGCTCAATACGAAAGCTGATGAAGGAAAACTTCAAACCCATTCTTCTCGGTTCGACCAAACTTAGAGTTTTGCAATTTTTTTTAATCGATTTCGGTTCAAATCTTATTTTTTTCGAACTTTCGGAGACGCAAAAGCGTACTTTATACTATACGATTAAAAATGTAACGCACGGAAAAAATGAAATTGCTGATTTAACAATTTTATAGTTTAAAAAAGTGTCCGACATGACTCAATGTAGATTTTACAATGAACAAATGCAAATTTAGCCATCCTCGTGGTTAAATTAGTTTTTCACTATTGTAAAATGTACATTTGAAACATGTTGGACTTACTTTTTAACAATTTAATTGTTGTATCAGCAATCCGTTTTTTCCGTGCGCGTACCGCTTGTCGCTTGAGGCGCGAAGCACTCCGGAGGGATAGACCGCAAAGAGGTCAGGGGCCGTACTGCCGTGCTAAGGAAAAACGCCGTATGAGCCTTCAGGCGTTGCCAAATTTCCTCAGGCAAATAACTAATTTATAGGAACATTTTTGAATATTTTTCTACCAATTTCTCAGATAATTTTGTTTGTAATTTGATCTAAAGTGTCTGAAATTTTCAAAGGAAAAAATGTATAATTTTCCTCAAAAATAAACATTTTATCGAAGGAAATTTGGTAACTATCGAATGCTCATACCAGTGGCGTAGCGTGCTTTGCGATATATCGATTGATCTTCCATGTAAATCTATGAAAAAGGATCGATTATCAAGGTGTTCGCTGCGAACACCTTGATAATCGATTCTTTACTGCAGCTTCAAATGGAGAAATATCGATAATCGACCATTCACGCCACGCCACTGGCTCATACGGCGTTCTTCCTTAGCACGGCAGTGTAGCCCCCCAGTTAACTATAGCTCAACATTACGAGAACGGTTTTTTAGACCAAATATTCGGAATAATTCTGTCCAAGTTTTATCTTTTAACAGTGCGGAAGTCCCATTCAAGGTGTTGACATAAATACGCCTGAGCAAGAACTCAAGTCTATGGAAAGCACTGCGACCGCCATTGAAACCACCCTCGATAAAAATTTGGAACGTGCGACACCGAATGCAAATGCGGCACTCACTAAAATTCAAGCAATGACAAGCTCCTATTCCCATCGTGAGTGTAGTGGTGAATATTCTAAAAGAGCAAAATACAAAAGGAAGAAAAAAGGAAAGCCGTATTTATTTTCAACGAGTGAAAAGGGATATTTTATGGGAAAAAATGTTTCTACATGAACCTCAATACCAACCTAGGCTTTGTTTTCCTGAAAATGTTCCTTACCGCTCTTTTGAATAACTTTGTCCGATGCAGTGTCTGTCAGAATTTTTTTTCCAGCACATCAGAAAATGATATTTGAACAAGTCATTCTATCTTTAATGCTCACGGATGAGAAATACAGGAGTTTCAATCACTACACAAGTTGTTAAGTATGTAAAATTTAAAAATTTTAAAAATTTACGAAAATTTAAAAAATTTTAAAAGAAACTTCGAAAATTGAAAACGTTTCTGCAAGTGAGCGATTTTAAAGTTTGTTTCAAAAGTTTTTAAATTTTCGTAAATTTTTAAAAATTTTAAATTTTACATGCTTACGGATACCTGAATTTTTCAATTGAATACGAGCACGCAATTAAAGGAAATAACATGACAATGAGTTCTTTTCTTTTTAGATAATTTTTCATTTACTTTGTAGGAAGCAAAGGGATATCAAATCGTCGCTCTCTTGGCGTAATGACGTATCTTAATTTCTACATGAGCCCTGTGATACATATAAATCCATGCTTTCTAGGGCTCATGCGGAAGTCGGGATACGCCCTTCCGTCAGAGAAGCAAAGCAATACAAATGCTATCAAGTAAAGTTCCGGAAATAAAGTTATGCTGAATATAGGCCCTTGAGATGTTCCAATTTTCTTCCTTTTGAAATACATATTTTTTTCTCAATTGAACTCAATTTCAACACTTAGCCCACTGCTCCAATTCAATTGTGTGCTTCCTTCTCTTAGCAAGCAACGCTTGGAGGAATTACGAGGTAATGTTGAGCTCTGAGATTGAGTGGGCTCAACACAAGCTCCGCGCCAGTCTCTGCAACCAGTACCATCAGTTCAAGAAGTTCATTGCTCAAAGGCCTCCTGTTGATGCTACTCTTAGAGAGTGGATGAATTCTGCCGAGTACAAGTCGAAAACAGTCTTCCCTCATTTAGAGGCAGAAATCATCGCTCCGGTAAGTGATTGGCAACACCATTTTCGAATGCTTCACCAGCGGGCTGATTGTTGAAATTGATAGACAAAGCTATAGACAAAGAAGACAGGGGCAGTATGCAGCGATCAAATTTGTTGAAATGGTTGGTTCCTACTGACTAAGGGTGAAAATGATGAACTAACTTTACTTCCGTGATAAGGGAAGACGCCTTATGAACCATCAGGCGTCGCCGCAGATTACCTCTAATAAAATACGAATTTATACTGGGGAACATTTTGAGACATACAAAGAACTTTCCTCAAAAACACACGTTTTATCCAGGGAAATTTGGCAACTCTCGAATGCTCATACGACGTTCTTTCTTAGCACGGCAGTGTAGGGTCTCACGTGGGTTACCGATATAGTTAGTCTCTTCCTTGTCCATTGCAATCTCCAGCTTCCACCAATAAGATCCCTCCATACCTCTTTTGTCTTCCTTGTCTATAGCGTTGTCTACCAATTTCAACAATCAGCCCATGGGCGGTTTTACTATAAACCCGTAGTGAAAACATATTCCTCAAAATCGAGTCTAATTACAAAAAAAGCGTGATACAGTCGGCTAAAACGTGTTTCAAGGCAGGAATTCATATTTTTTAACACTGCAGGCCGACTTTGGCCCCAGAATATAGATGACTATAGTGGGAAACCCCGTGCCTCCATTACGGTGTTTTAAAATGTTTCTTTTTTATTTTTTCATGCAGAGAAGAACAGGCAAACTTTTTAGCTTAATTTATACAGAGTGATTTATGATTTATCAATAGAAAAAACATGTAGGCACAAATTTTTAAGAAATTTACATACGTAGACTTGTTTTTCAAAGAAAAAATGAACTATGGCAGGAAGTCTGCAGCAGCGCAAACGGAGATACATGGTTTCGCTCATCAGTCATCGGTCAAGATTTTTATTCTTTGGTACCGAACGCTGCCTTTATTACTCTCAAAAACAGCGGGTCGAAATTTCAAATCGTTATTGACTTTTATAAAAATGTTTTTGGGCTTCAGCGTATTTGGACCGCGTTTAGCAGAAAGGAATCACGCCACATCAGCCATCGCCAAATTTAACCGGGCAATTTAATATTTCACATGAAAACGGTTGTGCGGATTTTTGTGCAAATTTCAATGAATTTTCAACATAGCACAGAGGAAATTCCCTAGAATATTCAAAGGAATCCGCACAAACGATATCTTGTAAAAAATCAAATTGCCCGGTTAAATTTGGCAATACCTGATGTGGCTTGGTTCCTTTCTGCTTAAAGCGGTCTATTTAACATCCATAATAGCTTCAATCAATCAGCTGTCACATGCTTCGTCATGAAGCTAAGAATTTTTCGGTAAAATGACGTATAAGGCCTCCAGTGCTGCTAAAATTGTGCGGCTTGGTTCTTCATCTAAGCTAACCTATTTCAAACCTCTCGTACGATTTTTTTAAATACGCTATGGAGTTTCCTCACTATTGCGTGAAAGTAAGTTGGCTGTGAATTAATTTCATTCGCTACTACACTGGAAAAAAAAAAAAAACACATTGGATCTAAAGTCCAGACTCTTGAGAACATTCACAAGAATACGGACTCTTGATTCAATCAGATTTAAGCTTAAATCAAAAGGAAATCCGCTCAAATTAAGAGGCTTGGTTCTTGATTTAGGTTTAAATCTGATTGAATCAAGAGTATTTTTCTTGTCGATGTTTTTAAGAGTCTGGACTCTAGACCCAATGTGTTTTTTTCCCAGTGTAATGCTTCGAAAAATTGCACAATCTTAGCAGCATTAGCATTGCCTCATATCGACGGTGAAACTACCAAACCACGTATCTCGTTTGCGGTGTTTAAAAATCTACGCTCACATTTTATTTTTTTGAAGTAGATCAAATCAATATCATTCCTTGAAATTTTCACGGAATTTTCTCCGCACAAAGAGGAAAAATCACAGAAATTTTCAAGACTGGATCTTAAGTAGTTTTTCATTTAAAAAATAAAGTATGAGAAGAAGTCTGCGACGTCGCAAACCGAGATACGTGGTTTGGTAGTTTCACCGCCGATATGCCATTTTACCTAGATACCCCTCTCAATAATTCAATCTACAACAAAAAGAAAAAACGCGTAACTTTTAAGATTCTATTGTCCATTCTTTGAACAATGTTAATATTTTTCCTTGTTTTTAATTAGTTGCTGAAAAACAAACATAACAGGCAAAACCGTCTTTTACCAGTCCCGGAGTTAGAAACTAAATCTATCGCTGAGAAAAAACGATTCTTTACACGACGCGTTCGAGAGCTAACCCACGCAAATGATCAAAAAATGGAAGCTTTCGAAAAAGGGGCGAAATCAGTTTTGGATGCCTTGTACAATGCAGTTTTGACGTCGAGTGGAATGGACAGGGACCTGAGGGGTGATTTATCTAAGCCCTACAGCGTCGAAGAAAAAGCGGACGTGATCCAACTTGGCCTTAACGTTGGTGATGATTTGAACTGCCCCAGACCTAAAATTTGAACCGTTTCATCTGCACTTCTGCCGCGATAGCGAAGAGAGCCGTAAGTGCTAGAGTCCCTTTATACCCAGAGTTAAGACAACTCACTTTTGGTTGGGCTGAAAGTGGCCTAAAAAAAAATCCAATTCTGATTGGTTCTCGCTCATGGAGGCCGAAACGAGTGCACCAAGATGGCGGTACCTCGAATGTGAACAATAATAATGAAAATATTACCTAATTGTGGTTCATCAAGAGTAAATTGTTATTTCCATCGGTCCAAAATGAAAATAGATTAAGAAATTATTCACAAACCATTCTCATTTTCTTTTTAATTGATCAATTTGTTGATGTTGTTGTTTTTGTTTGACAGACATCGCAGGATTCCTGATCCTTATCCCTCAATGTCGTTCGTCTGGGTGCACTCGTTTCGGCCTCCATGGCCAGCCAAGGCCGGCTGCCAGTCAGCTGATAATCGAGTTGTCTTAACTCTGGGTGTAAAGGGACTCTTTTAGATATGAAATTACTGAGACAGCCAAAACAGCAAAAGTCATCCTAATTTAATGAAAACGAGACGTATGTAAAAGCCGTAAGTGCACAAACAATAACACGGTTTTTTTTTCAAGACAGCCGTAGATGCATGAGAGCCAATGAGAACAGTGCTTTCCAGTAAAGTGCCGCCCTCTTCTGCTAATTTCTAACCTGAAAATGTGTTTGTTGTGCGTCCAAAACGCAACCACGAAAACATGCAGAAGATAGCACTTACGGCTGTCTTGCCTAACAATAACCTAGCATGAAAATGAAAAATACCCTTTTTGTGTAATGGAAATAAAATCGGTCGATTTTTAATCATCCATACGATTTCTAGGAGTCTTCCGGACGATTAATGGTAATTTGACAAAGAACGGAGGCATCTTTCAATAAAATGATCTTGTCAGAAGCTTCTGAGCCCGTTTTCTCAAAACTTCATTTTTGCACTTACGGCTCTCTTCGCTATCACGGCAGTCTTTCATTCCCATTTAGAACCGCTGTTGAGTACCCGCCGTTTTCTAGGTAAAAGGATGTACTTCCGCTCCAAAGTTGTGAAGTTGACTGAATCAATTCAATTTTTCCGGCAATACGACTGCTAGATCCGTGCACAATTCCGCAAAAAAAGGAAAGAAAAATAAAGAGCCTCCCTAAAAATGGCCCCTTTTCGGGAACCCGGGGATTTCATTCGTATGTGGCTTAAATGAAACCTTATGATGAGACAAGCCTCCAGTAAAAATTTTTGCTTGAGTATATGTCTTGTTTCCGAGATACAGCGTTGCAAAGTTGGCATATTTGAGCTTTAAAATTCTCATATTTTTATGGATTTTCTTCCAAAAACCAACTTCAAAAATGACTTTACAATACTTACACGAGGTGCACACGATGAATTATAATATGAAAAGTCTCCAGTAAGAATTTTGACTCATGCGTAAGCCTTGTTTTGGCAGTACAACGTTGCTAAGTTTACATTTTTCAGCTTTAAAAAGCTCATTTTTTAAAGTTTCTCATTCACAAACCGCTATTACTGAAGATCGAACTGTATTTTGGGGCATAGAATCAACAATTAGTGATACTCGTAGATGCATAGTTTAATTTATAAAAGGATACGATAATACAGTGTTGCAAAGTTTGCAACTTGTATCTGGGAAAATGTCTATTTTGTGTTATTTTATTGAAGACAAGATTGAACAATGTTGATAAGTGATATTGTGAAACAAAGAAATGTGGAGGACTCTTGTCAATCCTAGGTGAAAATTGGAATTAAAATGGCACTGATGCCAATTTTATTTAAGTTTCTATTAACATTCCATTATAAAATAAGTTTAAAATAAGGATACTTCCAATAATTGTCTGATTTTAAAACGTAATCCAAGTGAATTTATGGCATACAATGAATGGCTCAGCATCAGTGTTGCTTTCAAAATCTAAAAAATTCTACCTTGCCTTGGTTGTCAATTTTACTTTTTTTTAGGCAGAATGCAAAAACGAACATAAACTATGGAAACACTCCAGTTTTTTGAGTACAAATAAATCTTGATACAGACAATACATTCATTGTTCCTTAAAGAATAGAATATCTTCGACTGAAGAATTACAAATGATGAGAAAATTAAAAAAAAATAAATAAAATAAATAAATAAATCTATAGAAAAAGAAATTAAAAGAATAAAATACTTAAAATTATTAAAATATTGTTGCATGGATTTGTCAAAAATTATTATTTCGGCATAGCTACTAACTATTTTTTCATTAATAAGTTGTTAAAGTTCCATTTTTGTTGAGGGTTGTCCTCATAGTATTAAGACGTCTGTGTCACAGTGACAGCATTCCGAAGAGAATAGGACCAGGCTATCGTCATGTTTCATACTTGTATTTCAAAATGGATTTAAGCATTCACATTATGATCTCGGCACTGGATGTAAATTCTTGCTATAGCATTCGCTGACCCCTCCATTCTGATAAAAAATACATCCATCTCCCAGTGAAATATATCTGGAAAAAAGTTGCATTTTCTCAATACGCAACGGTGCAGTGTCTTGGCAGTGCCAATCATAACAACCTTATATATGTATAGAGCATGTTGAAAACATATCTTTGATCTAGATGCCTCAAAATAATTGAGATACTTGGTAAAAGTAAAAAATCGGCAACATGTTGAGGTACTTTCTATATGTTTGAAGGCAAGACTATACTCACGTATCAATCGAAAAAAATATTTTCACGGATATTCATAAATAAATATAAAAAAATCACAAAAGTCTAAACAAATTACCAAAAAAAATTAAGCAAAATAAAAAAAAGTAAAAAAATTAAATTAGAAGCATCTTTATTTTAAAATCATTTTATTATTTTTTGTTTGAAAAGAATTATGAATAAACTTGGCAGCAGTATTTTTTCCAAAACCAATCGTTACCTGGGACTGACATCAGCCCTTGATATTTTGCCTTGATACGAGTTAAGATACCCATTGGAGTCATGTTCAACAAGAAAAAATCATAATCCATACAGAGTTCAAAGTTTTAAGCATGGCAACGCTGTATCACCACCGGTCAAAGAATTCTTCTTCAAATACAAACATTCATCTACAGATGACATAAATGGTTGATTTCCTGCCTCAAATCGTGATTAAATTCTACAAAAGTAGCTTCTTAAACACAGAACTCAGAAATATAGACATTTTTAAAGCTCAAATATATCAACTATGCAACCCTGTATCATTAAAACTATACTTGCATTTTGAGTTAAATTTTAACAAAAGCCTTAATCTATCATACAATTGCATCTAAACCTCAAAAGCATATCTTTTAGCCGTCACTAAGTTCGTTTTTAAGTTAAGAAACTTGATAAAATGAACATTTTTCATAGGTTTTTATGTCAACTTTGCAACGTTGTATTAACAGAATTAGTAGTATTAATGTTTCGATTGAAATATGCATTCCATAATAATACTAATATTTGATAAAATGTCACAAAATATCATAAAACATCCAATTGAATCGTTCTGAGAAAATAAGATACCTGAGAATATGAGAATTTTAAAGCTCAAATATGCCAACTTTGCAACGCTGTATCTCGGAAACTAGACGTATACTCAAGCTAAAATTTTTACGGGAGGCTTACCTCATCATAAGGTTTCATTTAAGCCACAAACGAACGAAATCCCCGGGTTCCCGAAAAGGGGCCAAAAAAGGCCCTTTTTTAGGGAGGTTCTTTATCTTACCAAAATTCTTTAAGTATCCTAATGTTAGCTTACTTCCACTATAGATTCTCCTTAATAGACGGTGTGATATCACCCATTACCTTCCGTTTTTTTCATAAGCATGTGAGTTTTCTAAATCCAATGGTATGTAATAACAGTTTAAAATTTAAATTTTGCAAGTAGAGGAAAGAAAAATAAATGTATTTTAGCAAAATTTTTTTAAAATATCCCAATATTTGCTTATTCCGCTATGAATTCTCGGTAACAGACGGCGTGATATCAACCATTACCTGTCCTTTTTAAATACGCATGTGATTTTTTCTGAATCAAATGGTATGTAATCACAGTTTAAAGTATAAAAAATATACACATCATCATATTATCAATATCGAATATTTGTCTCCTACTACCTTATTTGAACAAATTTATTCTTTCATGGCCGAGCTTCAAAACTACGCATCTTCACTGCAAAGTTACAGAGGATTACAGGAGAAAAAGTTGATAGAAAAGTTTTTAACTTCAGCTTTTCTGCTCCAATTCTCATCTCGTATAATACATGCTGGAATACAGGAATGTTACTTCTTTTGAGATGAAGAGAGGGAGAAAAAACAAGTTGATGTATACGATATAACGGATTTCAATAGAAATATTTCCTCAAAGTATAAAGATTGAGAGGAATTAAAATCGCGTCGAGGTATAAAATAATATTATTAAATTATACTTGGAAAACAAGGTGGTGAAATAGTGCTGGGTCTGCACACATTTTCAGGGGAAAACAAGGCCAAAAAAGTTCAAAAATTCCAATTAGGAGCAAAATTTTGAGCTCTAATGAATATTGACACGAGACCCTGGAGGGGGGGGGTGTTCAGTTTTATACTGGTACTCATTAGAGCTCAAAATGTTGACTGTATTCGTAATGTTTTGGCCTTGCTTCCTCCGCATCAACGGTTGAGCTAATGCATGATGTCATAAAAAAAAGAGAAAAAATACCACCAAATAATTCTAAGTGCAACAAACGGCTGACGCGTCATCGGGGGGTGGAGGGGGGGAGGGTTGCCGACGAACAGGGACAGGAATAATTAAAGTATTAAGTGCATAGTGGAATCAAACATTTTCAAAATATTAACGTCGCAAAGTTCAACTTGATATCAGAAAACCATTAGACGAGCACTCAATCTGAACAATGGAATATTCCGATGCAATTCCGAGAGAGACGTTCTCTACCAATGGCGTGGCTTGCTTTGCGATATATCGATTGATCGGCCATTTAAACCTATGGAAAAATATCAATAAACAGGGTGTTCGCTGCGAACACCTTAATAATCGAGTGTTTACCACAGCTTCAAATGGGGAAATATCGATAGATCGCAAAGCATGCCACGCCACTGTTCTCCACGCGTCTCTCTTCAGGTAACATAGATATACTGCATCACTAAGGAAAAACACAGTATGGGCCTTCAGAGGCTGCAATTTTTCCTTGGACAGATCAAAATTTTTAGAAAAACTATTCGACATTTTTCTCCCAATTACCTACAGAATTTTGCTCGTGATTTGATCTAAAGTGACTGAAAATTTCGATGAAAAATGCTCATGACCATCCTCAGAAATGATTATTTCCTGAGAGGCGATTTGGCAACATTCGAATGTCCATGCGACGTTCTTCCTTAGCCCGTCAACTTTTAACGAAATGAACGGATGAATCAGGCACTTTTGCCGTGTTAAGGAAAAACGCCGTATGAGCCTTCAGGCGTTGCCAAATTTCCTTTGACAAATCACTAACCTTCGAGGAGATTTGTGAATATTTGTCTTCCGAATTCTCGGATAATTTTACTTGTGATTTGATCTAAAAATTCTGAAAATTTCAAGGAAATATATCGACAATTTTCCTCGAAAATGAACAATTCATCGGAGAAAATTTGACAACTCTCGAATATTCATACGGCGTTCTTCCTTAGCACGGCAGACTTGGGGGATGAAGTCGGGAACGCAAATGACAGAAAGTCGATCCTCTTGCCTGGAAACGGAGGGCAAAAAATAGAGGTGGATCCGAAAATAAAAATTCGAAAAAAAATCGTTCGCGTCACTGACTCTTACGCACATCTCCAGCCTTGATGATGTAGCAGGCTTAAAAGCGGATGTTCTGGCTCGAGTTGTTAGTGATCACCGGTTCATCAAAGTTCCGTAAGGATGTGGGTGTTGAAGGAAACGGTGGCTTTCGTGGCTGCCGCTTTATTCGTGCTGCAGGTAATTGCACTTTTTGTAAAGTAATACTCTTTACTTAAATTCCTAGTAACTTGATTACACTTTGCAATAATACGGAACCACTAGTTCTGGCTCTTTTATAAAAGCACCTTTCTGCTTAGGGAAACCAATAGCATATATCGACGGTGTAAGTAGGCAATCACATAACTCGGTTTGCGACGTCGCAGACTTCCTGTCATACTTTATTTTTTAAACGGAAAACTACTCAAGAGCAATTCTTTAAAACTGCCGTGATTTTTCTTCTCCGTGCGAATAAAATTATGCGTAAACTTCAAAGAATGATGCTAATTTGTTCTCCTCTAAAAAAATAACAAAGAGGCGGAGATTTTCAGACACCGCAAACGAGTTATGTGATTGTCGACTTACACCGTCGATATGTTGTTTCTAACACGAAAGAAAAAATGATATCTTATCGCAAAATGTAGTCTATTTCGTCGTTTCCAGCACAAAAGAATGTAACTATGTCGCAGGAAATCACTTAAATCGGGCATTTTATTAGCAGATGGTCAAATTTTTACGGCTCATGAAAGTTTGTAATCTTATGTCGAAGAGCTCGCGAGTTTTCAATATTTTGGTAAAACAACTTATCAAATCTACCACCTCCTCTGATTTCTTCTTTTTCAAACGCTTCTCATACATTTAAATGTGAAAATTTTAAAAGTTCCGTTTTAATAGCATTCTGAAAAACGGCGAAAAAGTGCGTTCTTGCCGTAGTATCTTGATTTATTTTCCCAGGAAACCTCCGTACTTTTAGAGGATGATTGTCATTCTTAATATGTTGGAGCGCCTTCAATTTCGTATGATACTGTGTAACACCTCTGTTGTGGAATAGTTGCTTGGGGCGCCGTGGCCGTGGCGCGTTGCGGATAGCCGGCCAGCGCCTACAAACCTGAAGGGATACTTCAAGCATTGCGCAATGCGTGAAGTATCCCCTTAGGTTTGTAGGCGCCAGCGCGAGTTTTGCGCTGGCAGCACGCCACTCCGCTGTGTTAGCCTCTAACACTTAAACTCGAGGAGTCAGCGTTTTTCAACTCACGATTCACGGCGTGTTCTCAAACATCTCATCGAATCTACCAGCTCCTCTGATTTCTTCTTTTTTAAACGCTTCTCATTCATTTAAATGTGAAAATTTTCAAAATTGTGTAATTCATGACATTCTGAAAAACGGCGAAAAAGTGCGTTCCGTTACAGTGACGGATATAGTGCGTTCCGTTATCAGCCGTGAGCATAATTTTCTACACTGCCTTGTGATCCAGTCTCAGATTGATGGATACTTTCTTAAGTGAGCCCGTAATACGCGATTATTTTTCTAGGTTTTGCCTCCACTGTTGTCCTCCGCAAGGTCCACACTATACCGAGGATCGTAGCGCTCCACGCGTATTTTTATGAGTTAGAGAAAGCAAACCAAAACGCCTTCAATTTGTCACGTAGGCAACGAAGACATCCTGAAAGGACTAATAGTTGCATCTAACCTCAAACACAATCGTCACTCCACGTCCTTTTAAGTGCACACGTCGATGCAACTATTCGTAGTCTGTGGATGTCAGGGTTGCATACTTTAAAAAATGAGAGCGTTTTATACGTGAACAAGTGTCTTTTCGCCAAAAATTTTCCTCTTGAATTTCCAAAGATCAGTCATTCCTTCCCGCAATTCCTTTACGCCGTCCCGTTCCTTGACTCTCTGGGGGAGTTTCAGGCCAGTCTTACCTTTTTTAAAAGGGGGGTAAGGGGTACGCTGAGGAGTGGCTCACAAGAGGGGTGCTGGACATCAAAAAGTCAGCCAAAGAGGGTTCACGTAATACTTGAACGGCCCGCTTGCTGTGAGTGTGGAAGTGAATATTTTAGATGAACTACCTTGATCAATCCTCCATTGAGAATAAAAGGTTAGGTTTTTGAAAATCATGAAAATTCTAAAACTTTCTAGACTCTTATACCTCAAAATGTATTTTTTCTTCAATGGAATTTGGCGTAAATAGGCTTAGCAGCTAATCGTCTCCCAATAAACTAACTCAGCAATTATCTAACTTTTTGATCTAACAGCTCCCGTCAAGTCATTGTGTGAAATAATAAAACACATCTGACCGACTTTAGGTTTTGATTGCTTCAATTCTGAACGAAACGAAATCTGATCTGTTCGATCGGAAAACTGAGCTAATATCTCCTTGAAGAATACACGCATGTATTCTCATCATCAACCCTACACAGAGATAGATAAAAGCTATCCTCATTGAATATGGCCTTGCCCCCCCCTTTACCCTCTCCCCCACTCTCTCGCTCTCCCCCTCTCTCCCTCTCCCCCTCCCCCCTCTCTCCCTCTCTCTTTGCCATGGTGAAGTTACTTTGGAACCGAGCCTCATCACACTTTCCAAAAAAATGCCACCCTCCACGAACTGCGTCAGAAAATCATTCAAGACGTCCCGCGAAAACGAACTTCTCTCGATAAAAAACATGAGCGAATAGCTCATGACGCGTTCGGATACATCATGGAACTCGTGCTGATCTCCAGTTCTCCGAACGTACTCCCATGATAGCCAGGAGAGGCGAAATTCTCAAATTTTTGAAATCGAGTTTTCCCTTCAAAATCCGTCTGATCTCTGTCAGACGAATTCACTGAAAAAGGTGAAACAGCACAATGGACCACTAGACAAGGTACGAATTTTAGCATTCTGATACATCTTTTGTAACCAAAATTTTACGTAGAACACGATACGCACGACGAAAATTACCAAAATCAACTCCTTACGAGGATATTCAGTGATTCTTGATGCGTGAATTCAAACCGCCCGCTCATGAAAACTCAATGCTCTGCGTGTTTAGCTGTAACACATCGCCATAAAAATAACTATATTAGGCAATCAATCAATCAATAGTAATCCCATTTTAAACTATAATTACTAGTAAAACCTTTGCAAGGTATCTGATTTTAAGTAATTAAATCTTCATAGGATAGAATCCATAGCAACTTGTAGCACATCTTAGTACTTGAGTAGTCAAACTTTATATTGTTTAGTAATACCTCGATTCATATTGTTAGACCTTCTTTGCATGACAAGTCATAATTGTGAAATAATTTTAAGACTATATCTATAATAATCAAATTAAGGGGGATGTTAATGTCAGAGGACGGTTCCCTCCTATTGTAATTTTATTACAATAAAGATTAAAAAAAAAAAAAAAAAAAAAAAAAAAAATGCTCTGCGTGATTCACATCGCGCGCTAAACGTTATCATGACAGTCTCTGCGATATAAAAGTTTTGGCAACCTCAATCTTGACGCTTTGGCTCAGCTATAGCAAATTGCTTATAATTTGAACAACATATGGTGGGAAATGAACAGTGCTCGATTGAGAAGCTTGCTGAAACTATTGTAGTGGGCGATTTGACTCACGTAGAGTTTTGAGTTTCTTGTGAGCGGGCAGTTCAAATTCCTCGTAACCAATGTGAAATAAAAACGTTAATATCTTCTTTAGGAGTTGGTTTCAGTAATTTTAGTTTAGCGAATCGTATTCTACGTGAAATTCTGGTTACGAAACATGTATCAGAATGCTTGAATTCGTGCCTTGTCTAGTGGTCCATCCTTCCTAACTGTATGAAAACGAGACATATATGAAAGCCGAGAGTGCGCAAAAAATGACGTAGTCTCAGACAAAACAGCCGAACGCATCCTTGATTCTCCAGAGAGCCAATGAAAACAGTGCTTTCAAGTGAAGTTCCGCCCTTCTCTGCCAATTTCTAACCTGAAAATGTGTTTGTTGGGTGTTCGGAACGCAGCCACAAAAGCATGTAGAAGATAGCACTTGCGGTTGTCTTTGCCTAACATTAGCCTAACATAACAATTAAAAATTCCCTTTCAAAGTGTTTGAAATGAAATTCGTCAATTTTTAATCGCATGTACGATTTCTAAGCATCTTTTGGATGATTGGTGGCAGTTTGACAAAAAACGGAGACTTTCTTCAATACAATTTGCCGCTCAGAGGCTTCTGAGCCCATTATCTCAAAACTCAATTTTTGCACTTACGGCGGTTATAGGATATTTCATCAACGATTTTTTGTCCGCGCACCTGTTTTTTCCAGTAATTTACGTCCACGCGTTTTTTCGGCACGGGAGTTTTGGTCCACGTGCCAGTTGAGACCCAAAGTTAATTGGCACATATGTAAATACAAACAACAATTGCTCACGATGTTTTTGGATGAAAATATATAATGTCTTGGAAGGATGAGGGTTAGCTTGTTTTTTTGTTTTGTCTGTTTGGTCTAACGGAGAGTAATATATAGTTGAGAGTTTTGGTGAAAATGGGGGAGCGTCAATTCCATGAGACAAAATTCACTAAAACTCCTTACACCTCTTTGGTGTAACAGGACTTAATTATCTTTCAAGAAATTCCCACCTTGTTATACCTGAACCGGATAAACCTCTATATTTGCCTCAGCTAAAGGCTCTTAGATTTTTCCTGTGTACGATAAGTATCTTGATTTATTTTGCAAGGAAAGATCTGTACTTTTCAAGAATGCCTCTTAATATGCCTTCTTAATATGTTCAATTTCATATAATACTGTGCAACACCTTTGTTGTGAAATAGTTGCTTCAGGCGCCGCCGCACGGCGGGCGGGCGGCCAGCGCAAAACGCGCATTGGCGCCTACAAACCTAAGTGGATACTTCAAGCATTGTGCAATGCGTGAAGTATCCACTTAGGTTTGTAGGCGCCAGTGAGCCTCTCGCGCCGGAAGCACGCCGCTGCTCCGCTCTGTTAGGCTTTAATATTTATACTCGTATATTCATATTCGGAAAAATGAAGGCGCTCTTATTTCTGGGAAGACAACGCCTGGATGTAACTAATCCTGCTTTGAGGATATTTGCACAGGCGGGTCTAATTTTTTTAGCTGACATGTTTTTCTTGATGAAGGTCAAATTTGTTTTCCAACAGAGTGGGACTCCGAGTCAAGGTGCGGCAGTTGATGCGGCTGAGCCAATGATTAAGTCGATTGAAAACACTGGGACCTCCATCGGGACCGTTCTTGATAAGAATTTGGAACGGACTCAACCTAAGGAAAAAGAGATACTCGGAAAAATACAGACTACATCCTCTATGCATCAGCGTAAGTAACAATCAATATTTTAATTCTGCCTAGAGTCCCTTTATACTGAGAGTCAAGACAATGTGAATCCATTTCTGATTGGTTCCCGTATTTTAGGCCTTCGCAGTGTCACAAACGGGAATAAAAATTACATTTTCACCGATTGCAAAGATTATAATCTGAAATGGACCAGGGAATTACGGGTTCGGCAAGGAACAAACGGAATGAGAGAAGGAACGGAGAAAGGAGTTTGAGAATGGGCCGATCAAAGATTACGAAAAACGTTCAATTTCTGTAATCTTTATTCCCGTTTGTGACTCTATGAGGGGTGTTGTCTTGACTCTCAGTATAAAGGGACTCTAATTCTGCCATCCTCCGTAAAAACGTCGTAACTCCATTCTACATTTTTTTCAGCTGTTTACTCGTAAAATGTTTTACTACTGAGAAACCAATGACTATCCTTCTTAATGGAGATGTTGCATGTGTGAGGGATTTGCGATTTGACCATTGATTCTTATGTAAAAGTTCGCGAGAAACACGATGATGCCACTGGTTTTTTCTGAAATCAACTCCCAAGCTCAAAAAAAGCTCTGAAGTCGAGGCCAAAATAATGGAGGGGATATCCCACGCTATCCTGAGATTCCACCTCTGCATCAAAACAAACTCTCCATGCAAAGATAGGGAGCAAATACATTAGCAGGGTTGCCACTTTATTTGGGGACTCCAAAACTGAAAACACGGCAACCCTACTCATGTATTTGCTCCCAATCTTTGCATGGAGAGTTTGTTTTGAAATAGAGGTGGACTTTCAGGGTAGGCAACTTGAGAGCTTTTTTTGAGCTTGGGAGATGATTTCAGAGAAAACCAGTGGCACCATCGTGTGCCTCGCGAACTTTAACATAAGAATCAATGGTCAAAGCGCAAATCCCTCACACATGCAACATCTCCATTCTAAAGTAACTGTACATACTGTACATACATTTGGCTGCTTTCAGGCAAAAACCGCAGGGAATCGACGCTGCCCCTTTTTAAAATCATAACATTTAAACATGCATAACTTTTGCAAAAATAAGTAATTATAGAGCTCGTTTTTATGCCAAAACACGCGGAAAATCACACTCTATCGCACTCACGATAGTTGTCACTATCCCCATCCACTCGTCACACCATGAAGAGCGATCATTTACTATTTAATTCAGACACGTATCTCCGTTTGCGAAGTTGCAGACTTCCTGTCATACTTTATTTTTTAAATGGAAAACTACTCAACGCCAATTTTTTTTCTTCTCTAAGCGAAAAATACTCTGTGAAGTCCTCAAGAAATGATGTTGAATTGTTCTCCCTAAAAAAATAAATAAAAGCGGAAGCGGAAATTTTTAAACGCCGCAAACAAGATACCTGGTCTGGTAGTTTCACCGTCGATATCCATTCTGCCTTGCTAAGGAAGAACGCCGTATGAGCCTTCAGACGTTGCCGAATTTCCTTCGATAAAAACCGAATTTTCCGAGAAAATTATGAATATTTTCCCTCAAAATTTTCAGACGATTTTGTATGCAATTTAATCTAAAATATCTGAAAATTTCAAGGAAAAATATGCTTATATTGCGTCAAAAATACTAGTTTTATCAAGGGAAATTTGGCAACTATCGAATGTTCATACGGCGTTCTCCCTTAGCACGGCAGCATTCCTCTCTTTACACCTGAAACATTTTCAAGTGCCTTTATCAGCCCCTTTTAGATAAATTTGCTCCACTTCAAAATATATAAATATTCGAATCTGCTGAAATTTCACATTTTTCCTTCCAGTTAGCACCGAGATAAATCACTCTTCAGACTTATGTCTAACAAGTAATATGACTTTGAATTTCAACGTAAAACAATTTTTTTCTTTCTTTCTTTCTTTCTTGTACAGCGAGTAATCTTTGGTTGAACCACGAGCTCTATTTGAGCTCTGAAATTGAGAGGGCTAAAAACAAAATCCGTATGGGACTCTGCGACCAGTACCGAGGCTTCAGGAAGTTCATCATTCAGATACCACCCGCTGATGCTAAACTTCGGGATTGGATGAGCTCTGACGAATACGATATGAAAACCGTTTCTCCGCATCTTGAGACCGAAGTCATTTCTCCGGTAACGAGCAATAATAGTATCCTTCGAAATGGAGAAAAGCACATCGAATGCTACAGAACGCGTTTCTTGGCTCAAATGACTAAACCTTTAGCACGAAAAACCAACCGTTTCAGTTTACAGAGCTAAACTTCAGTTCGGTGAACCAAATGTCCAGGTCAACGAACTATAGTCTCAGTTCGCCGAGTTGGAAAACTTTCAGGCGATATAGAACATATTCCATCTGAGCCGAAGCTTTTTAGTTCGTGTAACTGAGCCGTCAGTCCATAGAACTAAATCCTGGATCCACGGAACTGAAATTCAGTTATTATGGAAGCGGTCAATTCGTTGAACCAAAGGCACGGTTTTCAGGGATGGGATTGATTCTATCGACATTTGAATCGATCGAGAATTAAAAAGGTGAATCGATCGACGTGATTCGATCGACACCGATTTGATCGACATATCATAGTAAAAAAAACGGCGTGGATTCAATTGACATCAATCGATCGAGAATTAAAAAAGTGAATCGATCGACGTGATTCGATCGACACCGATTCGATTGACAACCTTGAATCGATCGACAACCTTGTGAATCGACTGACAAATCCGTAATTATTTCAAGATTTATAGGAATTGATCGAATTTTGTCGATCGGTTCGCGTTTCTATTTTCCGATCGATTCATGTCGATCAAATCCATACCCTCAGCTCTGAGTTCTGAGATAGCGAGTTTTTATTAATTTGTCGATGGAATCGGTGTCGATCGGTTCAAATCGATCGACTGTCGTTTTAAATTTTCGGTCGATCCATTCTCCGTTCTAAGTATCCATTGAAATACCCACGTAGGCCTAAAAGTGAAAACTACTTTTAAAAGATAGTAATTAAGATCATGGAGACATTAACTGCCGGAAATTTTATCTGAGAGAGGGGTGGGCTTAGCTCATTCTGATGAATAGAAAATTGTGAAATTACTATTTTTATCACAAACATACATAAGAGTCGCTCTCACGGCGCTCTCTGTCGCTCTGCGACGCCTAACCGCCACAAAACTCGGTCCTCCCACAACAGCTCATGAGGACTCTTTTTATTATCCTCATACATAATTTATACAATTTTCAAACTTTTTGCACTGAAAAAAAATTCTCGGCGTTTTTACCAAGGTCCGTCGGTACTTTTACCATCTCACTTTTTTTTACCAATTATTGGTAATTTTACCAAGACAGACTAGTAAGTTTACCTACAAACCGGTATTTTTACTGTTTTTTTTTCAGGTAAGAATACCACTTTTATTGGTCATAAATTCCGGGTAACTTTGCCACTTTATCTCGGTAATTCTACCACAGTCGATAAAAAATATTGGCGTTTTTACCAAGGTCCTGTAAAATTACTGAGAAAGTTCAATAATTTTATCGAGATTTCTCGGTAAAATTACCAATTCCATAAATGATAATTTTACCAAGAAAAAACTGGGATCAAATAGAACCCTGAATTCTTGGTAATTTTACCCGTTTCTTAGTATATACACCGAGTTTTTTTTTTCAGTGTGAGCTTCAGGTATGCTTCGTTTATGGTTAAATGACCCATTCTCGGATGCTGCGTATTTCAAATTCCTTCACTGAAAAAAAGAGTGACTTTTTTCTTATGTCCTGTTTTTCGTTGACCATGACAATATTTATGGGGGTTTCCCAGTTACTGGTGGACAGACGCAAAAGAAAAGAACGGCTCCTGCCCGTACCGGAATTCACCTCAGGAGTGGTTGCAGACAGAAAAAGATACTTTTCGAGACGAGTTCGTGAACTCACAAACGCATACGACTATCAAATGGAGCTTATCGAGGAAGGTGCGAATGCAGTTTTGAACGTCATGTACAATGCAGTTTTGACCTGGGCTGGAATGGACGAGGAATTGTTCGGTGACATGCTGAAACCAGAAAGTATCGAGGACAAAGCGGACGTAGTCCAACTTGGCCTGAACGTCGGTGATGATTTGAAGTGCCCAAGGAATGTCCTGGAAGGCCCAGAGAAGGTCCTGGAAGGTCCAAAGAAGGTCCAGGAAGGTCCAAAGTCCACCGAAGAAAATTAGTCTATCTCTTTTAATAACCTCGAGTCTGGCCTCTGAACAGTATCACCCCCGATTTTTAAAATAAATGATCGCAAAATAATCAACTTCTTTCTTTAAAGTTCGAGTAATCATTTGATTTTTATGTTATTTTTAATTTTAGTAGTTTATGTGATCAGCATGGATAAACATTTTTATATCGTGATTATGTTCTACTTTATTGTATGTATGCATGTTATTTCAAATCACGCTCACCTGGGAAATAATATATATCGACGGTGAAACTACCAAACCACGTATCTCGGTTTGCGACGTCGCAGACTTCCTGTCATACTTTATTTTTTAAATGAAAAACTACTTAACGCCTAGTCTTGAAAATTTATGTGATTTTTCCTCTTTGTGCGGAGAAAATTCTGTGAAAATTTCAAGGAATGATATTGATTTGGTCGACTTCAAAAAAATCAAATGCGAGCGTAGATTTTTAAACACCGCAAACGAGATACGTGCTTTGGTAGTTTCACCGTCGATATGTGGAATATTATTATTGCTGGAAAAAACGGCAAGTCACCCGTATTGAAAATCAAGAACGAACTGAATCATCTTGAGCTGAATATCGTGACCATATGACTGTCATGATGAAGGGTTTTGTTGAGTTTAGTCGGACTGAAGCATCTAAATATCTTTCATACGCGCACTAGAAATAGCGGAATTTGTGGGAGAGCAAGAATTGAACAAGATAGTTGTTTGAGCCGAAAGGTTGTATTAGAACTTTGGGAGGATTCCAGAGTTACAAAGAGTAGTCACACGCTTCCAGGACTTTATGTCCACCTACCTTTCGTCCATTAAATAAATGTCCACTGCTATTAATGTCCACTAAACGTTAAGACCAATCTTCATTAAATCCACATGATTTAATGTCCAACCATGAATATGTCCAAAATTGTCCAAATTCTGGACATGTTATGTCCACATTTTTTTCTTCTCATTTAAATGACAGGAACCACCTCAAAAATAAATGCATACTACTACTACCTTTATTCTTAAAAACATTTCACTCATAAATCAAGTCATGAAAGAGAACAGACTCTAAGAGCAGATAAAAACATATGTTCATGGTACAACTGTACGGATATGATAAGATGAAAACCAAAGCAGGAGCCTAGGAAACGCTCCAATGCCAAATTAAACATTTTTCAGTAACAGTCAAAATTGAAAGTCCTCTTTAACTAGTTATTTCGTTGTAAGATACTGTGCAACGCCTCTGACGCGAAATAGTTGCTTAAAGCGTTGCGGCGCGGCAGGAAATCAGCGTGACACGCGCATAGGCGCCTACAAACCTAACGGGATACTTCACGCGTTACGCAATGCGTGAAGTATCCCGTTAGGTTTGTAGGCGCCAGTGCGGGTTCTGCGCTGCTAACACGCTGCTCCGCTCTGTGTTAGGCTCTAATATTTAAACTCGCGGAGTCAGCGTTTTTCAACTCATGATTTTGGAATGTTTGCACTCTCTGCATTGATTATTTCCTTTCAAACTGATGAAAAAGAAATATGTACCATTGGAAAATATAATGTGTTTTTTGTAAATATATTAGTGGTTCCGTGTCAAATTTAATTATTTCCAAAGCATTCAAATTTATTATTTTAAGTCTTGGGCTTTAACCGTGCTGCAGCGTGGTGTAAGCACAACTAAACGCTTAAAATTGGACGTATTTGACTACAGGAGGTCGATGTACATATAAGTTAAAAACAAAAAAATGCGTGCTTCTTAGTTTTTTCCTCTTTTATTAATTTGTGTATAGTTTCTTTCTTCACAGCTAAGGCTCGTTGAGATTCATATCAATGCCATTGCTTGGAAAAGGTTTTACAAATACGGTAAGTGCGATTTGACCAAAAATCTATACAGTTCTTTATAAGACCAAAATGGACAAAATTACAAAATTTGAATAGGCTAACGTAAATCTAACGATAGTTATCGTGAACGAAAGAATTGACGACATAGGTCTGGTAACTATTATAGGTGGGATGGGATTAATTTGAATGTAATTGTAAAATTCTCACGAGCATTTTACTCGTGAGTGTGTAACTAGTATAATGCTAGCATGATGCGATTCTCTGTGCAAATCGCATTATACTAGTATACGAATCCTTAGTGTATGAATAGCATTACACTCTTCTTTAGCAGGCCTCCTCCATTTTCCTCTTTTTCTGCTCTTTTTTTATCCTTTTTTCTTCGCTCCAGAAATCCGTGTATTATGCCTCTAAGATTTGGTTCGAATAAATGTTTAGTCCGGCTCAGAAAGATACAAAGACTTTCAATATCCGCTGTGAATTTTTCGGCAAATACGCTTTCATCTGTAGCTGTTGGCCCAATTTTTTCAAGAAATTCAATTAGTTCTTCAGGTTGAGGGGTAAAATTTGGGTGTTTCCTTTTGAATTTCTTGAATTCGCTGGTTATATTCTGTTTTTCTTCCGGGAGCAATTGAATACTAAGCAATATATTTCCATCTTCCTCAATTAGCTTGCCGTGCTTTGAAAATACGGCAACGCTCCAAGACTCAATGATTCCAGAGCGCGTGAATTTCAAACCAAAACACGTAACATTTTCTTTCTGTCCGAACAAATATTTCCGAATATATTTCTCTTTACACTCATAAACTGGGTTTTCCGGATTATTGTCCATTTTTGGTTCAAATATTATCACTTCTTTTCCAACGGAATACACAATATCGGCTCGCCCTTTATTTGTTGTATCTTCCATTACTAAAAGTTTGGACTGACATCTATCGTTTTTCAGTTCGAGCATAATGTACATAACAAATTGGAACCAAGCTTCAAGGCGTGGCTTCTGGTAGGAAAGATATTCAAATCGGATACGACTGTTGGTAGCATTCAGATATTCGATGAAAGAAATCCATTTACGGTCATTCAGGTCTTGTACAGCCGAATCCATTTGATTTACCATACTTCTCTCCGCCATGCCAGTGATACCCATGTAAACACGAAGAGAAAAATCCTCTTTAAGTTCAAGATTGGTGAATTTCAGGGTAAAAATTTTCAATCTACTGTCATATTTTGAGATACTCAGGTACCCATTGTGAAACAGAAGCGATATCAATGATGCAATATTGTCCTCTGGAAAGACATATTTACCAGAAAGTTCCCCTTCAGTAGCAAGGAGTGCTGAGTCTGTTTCGTTTGATTCATCCTTTAAAACCATTTCCATAGTTTGTACTGGAAATTCATTCAGTTTATGGACCAAAAATTGAGTGGGGCCTCCTGATTTACTCCAAGCACGTACTTCACAACCGGTACGCAAGAAGGCGAGAACGGAGATGGGACTATAAAGGGACTCCTCTCGGATGGTAAATCTGAAACCATCGTGCCATTTTTTCATAATCCCCATGATTTCCCCAGTGGTTTTTCCTTTTGATGTGGCCAATTTTTTAACGAAGCCCCCGAAATACAGTTCCAGTTCATTTTGGGTAAAACCCATGATATTGGCGTACTCTGGGTCCATCGTAATGTCACGTACGGCATTCGCCCCGGAAAAAAAGTCCGAGAGAGCAATCCTTGTTATGCCTGTAATAAAAGAGTAGCATATTTTCGCTACTCTCTTTTTAAGGACGCTGAAAAAAGTCCGCAGTGCCTCTAAAATCTCGCCGGCTAATTCCTTATTATTTGCATAACTTCTTCTGTACGGTGCATCATACTCGTCTATCAAAATGACGACGGTATTATTGAACTTTTTATGCAGTGAATCGACCAATCGACGAAAGGCTGTTGTGATACGCGGCACACCTAGGTGAATCTCATGCAAAGATGCTGCTTCTTCTAATTGTTCTAACAGGGTATGATAAAATGAATCGAAAGAATGACTTTCAACATCGGAAAAGTCAAGAGAAATTACGGGATGTTTAGGCCAATCACTGTCCCGATAATGCTGATAAATTTTAGTATTTTCAAACAAAGTTTTCTTTCCTTCAAAAAATGATTTTACGGTGTCGACAAAGAGACTTTTCCCGAAACGTCGGGGGCGAGCCAGGGACCAAAGCTCTTGTGGTTCCTGGACCATTTTATATAAGAATTCAGTCTTGTCGACGTAGCACTTTAAATCGACTAAACGACTGAGGACTGATTTAGCTTCTCCTGGTAAAACTGCACATTCATTTATAGGTACTAGTGGTTTGTATGTCGCTGGAGGAAGAGAATGTTCCGGAAATTCTTCATTTGGGTATGGAATATGTGGCACAGCACGCCCAAAATAGCAAAAAATGATGGACGCGGTAATATATAAATAATCTTTAAAGTCCATTCTTACCAGAAATTTACACTTCAAGATAAATAACTTTGTACTTAGGTCCTTCAAAATAGTAATTGAGCGTTGAACTGCACAGATATAACTGAATCTTTTTTCAATGACGCAGAATAACTAAAGAATCGTGCTGGCAACGAATCTCGACTCAGCGTTATCTAATTTTAAGTGATGACTCAGAACTGTTCGCGAGCTCATCACGCGCAAACACACACATACGGACCCTAGGCGGTGGACAGTAGGCAGTAGGCACACAGTTGATCAAGTTTATAGTAGAGGTCGGACAAAATTTGGAAACTTGAAACGTTTCTGAGTCCGTTAATACGAAACTGTGAGGTTCTCTAAATAGTTCCATTGGTTTCCTCTTGAGATTTCTCCTAGAGGCTCCCCTTGAAATTTAAAATGTGACGAATTAAAAACAAAAATTTGCAGTTTCCCAAGTAGCATTTTTCAACGGAGAGATCGCGATATTTCGAAATTAAATTGCGATTTTTTTACGATTTACGATAAAATCGCTAGAATCATCAACATCTGAGCGATTATCCTCGATCTTTTCGCGATTTTATCGCCCGAAAAAATTGCGATTTTATCGCGATAAGATCGAGTATAACCGGTCAGGTGTTAATGATCCTAGCGATTTTATCGCCGATAAGATCGCCTAAAAAATGGGGTTTGCGCTGTCAGCCGATTTCCGTTAGATTCAGCCGTCAGGTTTGACGAAGACGACTTTTTCCCGTTTGTTCTGATGACTACACTTCTACTTGATTGTATGTATGCATGTTATTTCAAATCACG